GCTGGGCACAGTGGCTCACGCCCGTAATCCTAGCACTTTGGGAGGCCAAGGTGGGTGGATCACCTGAGGTCAGGAGTTCAAGACCAGCCTGGCCATCATGGTGAAACCCCATCTTAAAGAAAAAAAAAAAAAAAAGTTTTCTCAGAACACAGCCCTGTGCATTTCTTGGATGTTTACACCTGTAACTGCTTTCTTCCTCTAACAGCACAGTAGTAACATGTGGCCTGCAAAGCCTATAACTTATTGACTCTCTAGCCCTTTACAGAAAAAGTTTGCTGATCACTTCCCTTCAATGATTACATTATGCCTTTACATAAAAATAACGAGGCTTCCTATTTCCTTTCCCTCTGATTCCGTGTACTGTGTTTATATCTCCTGCTCTTTATTGATATATTTTTTTTTGCCATGTTATGACTGGATCTTGCTGGCATTGAATATGGTAATGTCTCTTTAGAAACTTTCCTTTTTTGTCCACCTTTCTTTTTTTCTCATTTTATTGCTCTGTCGTAACTGACAATAATATAGAAGAGGTTTTTTTTTGTTTTAGTTATTTAGAATTTTATGTCCTGAAGATGTAGTATGTCAGTAGAACACGCTATGTTTCTTCCTCAAAAACAAATAAGCCAGTTGTTAAAAGTAGGAGATATTAAGATCAGAATCCTGTCCCTGAGCAGCCAGTCTTCCCCAGAAGATTTCTAAGGGAAATCAACCTACAGAGGCAAGGCCACAGAAGTGACCTTTTTTATTAGCAGCAAAAGCTTTGGCTGAGTGTTGTGGAAATCTTTTGCCTGAGCTAGAGCTAGCCTAGAATTTAGAACCCAAAGCAAATCAGTAGTCAGCTTTGTAGTAGTCAGCTTTGGCTTCTTCACTGTTGAGTTCAGATCATAGTGGAACCTTAACCACTGCAGAGGTAGGAAAAGGCCAAACCAGAGCCTGCCAACTAGTAAGTAGAAATGACAGCAACAGCCAGAGCATAAGTGTGCCCTATTCCAGTTATTAAAGGAATTATAGTTATTATTCTAAAGATGGGGTTAGATTATAATGGTATTTAGCCAGGAGACCCAGAAATACCCAAGTTCTATCCTTGGCCAGCTGGCCTTTCTGTCTCAAAGTCCCCAATATGCATAGAGAATAGTGGCTAGTAATGGAGCAATTCTTTTACGTCTTTTGCTCAGCACAGTGAAAGTTCATATTGAAAATGTGGCCTTCATAATTGTCTTAGCTTAAACCATTCATAGCATTATACCCACCTTGGGAGTGGGGATGGGAGGATGGGGGTGATGAACTGTGGCAGCTTCCTTTAGCTTCCCAGTACCAAAACCACACTAAATAAGTTTTGATTTCCCGAGCTTCCTTGTTTTGTGTTGAAATTGGTTTGAGGCTCAGTAATAGTTTCTTAAATGTTAAGGCTAGAAGGACTAGAAGTGTACGCCGCCTAGTGGCTATGTACGTTGAAACAAGAAGCAGAAACCTCACGGAAGAGGGAGCCGAATCCCTCTGGATGTGTCCATCGGAGTGACTGCAGCACTCCATATAGAACCTGGGTATTACTCTCTTTATTTTTAATTGAAGTAAAATTTGTGATAGCATTTTACAAATTGAAAATAGCTGTGTCATTTAAAAAGTTCCCATTAAATTTGTTCCCAATGTCCCTCATGTTTCCAGAGGTTCTTTCTACTTTTGTCAGTGTGCAGTTAAGCAGTGCAGACTCATTTTAATACTAATGTCAGCCAAAGAAAATTAATATGAATTTAATTTAATATAAATTAAACTTATTTCCCATATCATTATATACATCCTAAAGCCAATATATTTTAAAATTGCTTGTACCACTGCCTGCTCTCCTTTGGTAAAAACTGTAGTTTCACTTAGCACATATTTATTGATTTCAGTCACAAAATAGGCCCTGGAAGTATTGCATAAAACATGATCCTACAGTAGAGGAGGAGATGGACATGTAAATACATAATTGCAGCAGGTTATAACATGTATGACTGTTATGATAGAAGTCTCTATAGCAGTTAATGCCAGCCAGGTGCAGTGGCTCACACCTGTAATCCCAGCACTTTGGGAGGCTGAGGAAGGGAGATCATGAGGTCAGGTGTTTGAGACCAGCCTGGCCAACATGGGGAAACCCTGTCTCTACTAAATATACCAAAAATTAGCTGGGCGTGGTGATGGGTACCTATAATCACAGCTCCTCGGGAGGCTGAGGCAGGAGAATTGTTTGAACCTGGGAGGTGAAAGTTGCAGTGAGCGGAGATTAGGCGAAGGTTGCAGTGAGCCATTGCACTCCAGCCTGGGCAACTCCGTCTAAAAAAAGAAATTAAGAAGTCTGGGCTGGAGAGGGGGATTTTGGAGTCATGAGCCGTATACATGGTAGTGGGTGAGATTATGGCAGTAGAAGAGATCACCCAGAGGGAACCAAGGTGAGAATCATTAACACACCACTAGTATTTTGGAGGTACAGAGTAAAGAGAAATAAAAAGTAATTTTATGGAAGCTAAAGGCAAAGAAAATTTAAAGAGGAAAATAAGCCACGTGAAGGCTAAAGAAGATGAGAATGAGGGTTCACTGAATTTGGCAATTAGAAGGTCATTATTCTTTGCCAAAATCAGGTAGGTGAAATGGTATGTGGCAGGTGGTTAAGCAGGATGGAGGGCAGAGACAGAGGCCAGATTGCAGTAGGTCAAAACAGAATAGGTGATAAAGAAGTGTGAAAAAGATCATGGACTATTCTTTCATAGATCTTGACAATGAAAGAGAGAAGAGATTTGACTTGGTAGTACAATTTGTAGACCAAGTGCTAAGCGATTAGACAGTGGAGTAACAGTAAATAAGGTACAATGGATATTGCTTCTTAAAAGCCAGCCTCTGATTGCTCAGTGTCTCCTGCCTGTCCTTCACACAGTCAGGGCTGGTATACACAGAGGATGAATGGCAGAAGGAGTGGAATGAACTCATCAAGCTTGCCTCCAGTGAACCCCGAATGCATCTCGGTACCAATGGAGCCAACTGTGGTGGGTAAGTAGGGCTAAGTGGGGGAGCAGGAAATCTTAAGTCCTCATTGGGCTTCCACAGCCCAGTGTTTAGAGAGCTCTGTACTAAGAGCATATTAGAAGGAAAGAGAGGAGCTATGCTAAGGGCACAAAAGTGTGTAACAACATGATATGTTTAGGAACTACAGGTGGTTCACTATTGAACTGGAATACAAAGTAGCCCATCTAGATTTTGGCAACTTCAGCACAAATGACCCAATATTTTCAGTAAGTAAACTACAAGGAAAATAAAAAGGGACAAGGAGCTTACAGGTTTAAATGCACTAAAAAGATATGTCAGGCTGGGTGTGACATATCATGCCTGTAATCTCAGCACTTTGAGAGGCTGAGGCAGGAGGATTGCTTGAGCCCAGGAGTTCGAAACCAGCCTGGGTAACATAGTGAGACCCCATCTCTCTCTCTCTGTCTCTCTGTCTCTCTCTCTTTTTTAAAGACAGAGTCTTGCTCTTTTGCGTTGGCTGGAGTGCAGTGGTGTGATCTCAGCTCACTGCAATCTCTGTCTCCTGGGTTCAAGCGATTTCCTGCTTCAGCCTCCCAAGCAGCTGGGACTACAGGTGTGTGTCACCACACCCAGCTAATTTTCATATTTTTGGTAGAGATGGGGTTTCACCATTTTGTCCAGGCTGGTCTCAAACTCCTGGCCTCAAGTGATCCACCCACCTGGACTTCCCAAAGTGCTGGATTACAGGTGTGAGCCACCGTGCCTGGCCAGGGAGACCCCATCTTTACAAAAAAAAAAAAAAAAAAAAAAAAAAAATTAGCCAGGCATGGTGGTGCGTGCCTATAGTCCCAGCTACTTGGGAGGCTGAGGTGGGAGGATTACCTAAGCTGGGGTGGTTCAGGCTGCACTGAGTTGCGATGGCACCCCTGCACTCCAGCCTGGGCAACAAAGAGAGACCCCGTCTCTAAAAGAAAAAAAAAGACATCAACCAGTTGGGAATGTATGGAGATTATAAGACAGTTATGGAAATGTGAATAATGTCTGTGTGTTTAATTATTGTTAACATTTTAAAGTATGATATTAATGATATAGTGGTTGTTTATAAAGGCAGTCCTTTATTTTTTCAGAGATAGAAACTGAAATACAATGGATGAAATTATATAATCTCCAGGATTTGCTTCAAAATAGTCTGGCAAGAGCCCCGTCGTGGGGAAGATAGGGAAATAGACTGAGTGTAGGTGAAACAAGGTTGAAGCCGGGTGGTGGAAGCATGACTGTTGAGTATGTTATCATTTTTAGTATCGAACATGTTTACAATTTTGAAATTTTCCATAGTACTTAAAAATTCTAAACTACCCAGCTTTTATTGTACATACGAATAATCTGGGAGAATTATTTAAAATGCTGATTTCTGGATATCCACCCCGGAAAAGTCCAGTTGAGTTGGACAGAGCTAAGGCCCAGAAATCCTCATTTGTAATAAGCATCCAATGTTGAATAAAATTGCTTTAGGGGGTGGAAGCCATTGAATATTGAGTATGTGAATGACAGGAGCAAATTTGTCACTCCATATTTGAACACATTGACACCAGTGGATAATGAGTGAAAGGGAGTGAGATAAGAGGCAGTTGTAGTAATCCAGGAAGAGGCCATGGATGTAAACAGCATGGTGGACTGAACTCAGGCCAGGGGAGACGGGAAAGAAACACATAGGAGATGGCATTGGTCAAACCAGGTGATTACTGGAAGGTGAGAGATAAAGCACAGGAAATCGTTCACAGATTTCTGATTAGGCTGCTGGGTAGATGGTAAGGTGGTTCTTTAAATGAGGGAACATAGGAAAGGAATTGTATTTGGCCTTTTTTGTAAGACATGAGTGTGATATGTGGGTGGTTGTAGTATATAAAGTAAGTAGGATGAAGTTATGCAGTTGTACATTGAGCTACTGGATAAAGAAAATGGAGACAGGTTATTGAACAGGAAGAATATTAAGATATAGGGATTACCTCAAAATTCCTAACACTGCTTTAACCCCAGAGCCTTCAAATCTCTTCCATCTGTGAGACGGAAGTAGAAGCAGCCATGGTAGCACAAAATAATCAGCTGTATCAGTGCAGCCTTAAGACTGGCTGGAAAACCAGGAAAGGACAATTGTCCTTTTCCCTTTCTGCAGAACGGGTCTTCAGGGTCTCCTGTTTCTGCTCTCTCACTTCTACCGCACCCCTTCTACTCTCTCCCCTCCCGCCATTCCAGGGTGGAGAGTTCTGAGGAGCCTGTATATGAGAGCCTTGAAGAGTTTCACGTCTTTGTCCTGGCCCATGTGCTTAGAAGGCCCATAGTCGTTGTGGCAGACACCATGCTGAGGGACTCTGGAGGGGAAGGTGAGTCAGCCAGTCAGTCCTCACTCCATCCTGAGCAATCCCTTTTGCAAAGCCTTAGGCTAAGCATTGGAAGGAAGGCAGGGAAATGGGATATATAGACCATTGGGGAAAAAGCAAGGTATCAATTAGAATAGTGCAAAATTCTCAAGAGGTCCTGAGTAAAGCAGTTGGGATTAATTCACAGGGGTTCTTAGGAAAGAATTATTAAACATGTTGGAATGAAAGCAGGGACTCAGTTGGCAGAGTGGGGTGAAGGATTGTCCATAAGGCAGAAACACAGCCTTCACAATAATCTTCATGGTTTCCTGCAGCGTTTGCCCCTATTCCCTTCGGAGGAATCTATCTGCCCTTGGAGGTCCCAGCCAGCCAGTGTCACCGCTCCCCTCTGGTGCTCGCCTATGATCAGGCCCACTTTTCTGCACTAGTGTCCATGGAGCAGAAGGAGAATACCAAGGAACAAGGTGCTGAATGACGTGTCTTTTGGTCTGCATTATTTTCACTTGGAAAAAATGGAATGAGATCTATGTGGGAGGAAAGAATTCAGTGACATGCAAGCCCAGACAGGTTGTGTTTATACTGTTTTATTAAGCTATAAGTTATGTCAGAGTTTTCAAATTAAAAAAAAAAAAAAAAGGCCTGGGAGAAAAGCAAGACCTGTATTCCCTCTTCTGGAGTAAAGGCTTATGGGTAAGGTGGTAGGACCTTCTAAATGATGGTTTGCTATGTTTGTCTTAAATTATGACTGAATTCTCTGAATATACATTAACTGGAAAAAACATCATGAGAGTTATTTGACTGACTGGTGGGGACTCAGGGAGATTTGTGGCCTAAAGAGTATGCCACATGGTAGGGAGAAAACTAGCTAATTGGTGTTAATGCCACATTGGTAATTACCACATTGGTAATTCACATGTAAGAATTGAGAAGTGACCACAATTAAAGACCTTAGTATGATTTTAGTGAAGTAAGTCTGTGTTCAATTGCCTTTCACTCTCCTCAAGGAGACTCCTTGATGATATGTTTCTTCCTCCCCAGCTGTGATCCCACTTACAGATTCAGAGTATAAGCTGCTGCCCTTGCACTTTGCTGTGGACCCTGGAAAGGGCTGGGAGTGGGGCAAAGATGACAGTGACAATGTCCGATTGGCCAGGTAAGCCAGGTCTAGTCTTTTCATCTACTTTGTAGCTGGGATCTCTTCCACATGCAGCATCCCATATGCCAGGGATTTTTTTCTCAGCTCAGGCAAGACAGTCACAAGTTAAGGCCAGTTTCTTTGGGAAGATGGAGAGGTGGAAGACAGGTTGGGCACCAGGACTCTTTCATCGTGCAGCTGCTTTTTCTGCCTCTGAAAGAGATGGGAATCCTGGGATCTCAACTTGTTCTTTTTTTACAATAGGAAAAGTATTCTTACACTGATACATCCCTAAAACAGTGATCAGAAAATCAGGATAATCAAGTCACATGTCTTATCTCAGTGCAAGTGAGAGGGGTTTTAAAGAGTTGATCAAAATAGTTTGCTTTGAGTTTTTGCCTCTCTGAAATTTAAACTAATAGCAAGAAAAACATGTTCCCTCCCTGACCAGCCCCGAGCCTACCTCCCTGCAGCTTGTTAAGCCTTCCTTCTGCCTCCTGCCTCAGCTTCCTGCTGGAGAGTGTATGAATGGGAAAGCTCCTCCGTTAACACTTACCTAGTGCTTCCTTCTCTGGGCTGCCGCCACTAGGTCACAGCTAAGAGAGTTTGATTTTCAAATCCAGAGTTTATGGCATTTTTAAAATAAGCTCTCACCTATTTATCAAAAGCTCCTTCTAAATAATGTTTACAACAACAACAATATAATGGCTACTGTCTAGTATTTCCCGTTTTCCAGACACTGTACTGGGCTCTTTCCAAACACTATTTTATCTTTACAGGCCCACAGGATAGATACTATCTATACCATTCTCAGCTGCAACTGAGTTTCAGGGAGTTTGAAGTGACTTGCTCAAGGTCATAAAGCTTCGTAATTGGTGGAGGAGAAACAGTTCAAACCCAGCCCTACTTGAGTCCCAAGCCATGTGGCCCTCTCCCACCCTTCCTCCCAACTGTAACACATTGCTTTGCTTTTAAAAGGTCGAAGTCATTTTTTCTTTTTTCTCTTTTTCTTAGTGTAATTCTGTCTCTAGAGGTCAAATTACATCTGCTACATAGCTACATGAATGTGAAGTGGATCCCACTGTCCTCTGATGCACAGGTGAAGACTTATCCCACATGTACCCTGGTGTGTCCTCATTTGCAGTGACAGAACAGATCTGGGGCCATTTCCTTCTGAGTCTGTTCTGAGTGGTAGCTTATAATTCAAGGTTAGAAGTAACTAGAAGATGTCAAATAATAAGTTTCAAAGACACTTCTTCCTGCCTTTTTTTTTTTTTTTTTTTTTTTTTTGAGATGGAGTCTTACTCTGTCACCCAGGCTGGAGTGCAATGGCATGATCTCGGCTTACTGCAATCTCTGCCTCCTGGGTTCAAGCAATTCTCCTGTCTCAGCTTCTCGAGTAGCTGGGATTACAGACATGTGCCACCACACCTGGCTAATTTTTGTATTTTTAGTAGAGGAGGGGTTTCACCATGTTGGCCAGTCTGGTCTCGAATGCCTGACCTCAGGTGATCTGCCTGCCTTGGCTTCCCACAGTGCTGGGATTACAGGTGTGAGCCACTGTGCCCAGCCTTTCCTGCATTTTTTTTTTTTTTTTTTTTTTTGGAGAGGAAGTCTTGTTCTGTCATTCAGGCTGAAGTGCAGTGGCACAATCTTGGCTCATAGCAACCTCCGCTTCCCAGGTTCAAGCAATTCTCCTGCCTCAGCCTCCTGAGTAGCTGGGATTACAGATGTGTGCCACAATACCCAGCTGATTTTTGTATTTTTAGTAGAGACGGGGTTTCACCATGTTGGCCAGGCTGGTCTTAAACTCCTGACCTCAGGTGATCCACCTGCCTCAGCCTACCAAAGTGCTAGGATTACAGGTGTGAGCCACTGTGCGTGGCCCTTTCCTGCATTTTAAAAACCATTAGTCTCCTGTTTTCCACATCTCCTCTCCAGTCAGGCTCTGTGATCTGATACTAAAACATATTCTTTTTATTATTATTATTTTTTGAGACGGAGTTTTGCTTGCCTAGGCTAGAGTGCAATGACACGATATTGGCTCACTGCAACTTCTGCCTCCCAGGTTCAAGCAATTCTCCTGCCTCAGTCTCCCTAGTAGCTGGGATTACAGGCACCTGCCATCACCACGTCCAGCTCATTTTTGTATTTTTAGTAGAGATGGTGTTTCACCGTGTTGGTGAGGCTGATCTCTAACTCCTGACCTCATGATCCACCCGCCTTGGCCTCTGAAAGTGCCGGGATTATAGGCGTGAGCCATTGTGCCCGACCTAAAACATATTCTTTAAGAAAGCTTTTCTGGACTGTTTGTTGAACTTGAGATGATCATTATTTTGTCCTGAGCCTTCTGTAGATAGACCTCTGTTTTGGGCACTAGGAAACAGAGTAGCTGAACGAGCTCCTAATTCAGTGAGTTCTGAGTTAGAACAGGAGCACAGGAGTAAGGGCAAATTGATGAAGTCCAGTGCAGAATGTATAAAAGTTGAGGGGATTCAGGCCGGGTGCAGTGGCTCATGTCTATAATCCCAGCACTTTGGGAGGCCGAGGCAGGCAGATCATGAGGTCAAGAGATCGAGACCATCCTGGCCAACATGGTGAAACCCTGTCTCTACTAAAATACAAAAATAAGCTGAGTGTGGTGGTGCACATCTGTAGTCCCAGCTACTCGGGAGGCTGAGGCAGGAGAATTGCTTGAACCTGGGAGGCGGAGGTTGCAGTGAGCCGAGATCACGCCACTGTACTCCAGCCTGGTGCCTGGTGACAGAGCAAGACTCTGTCTCAAAAAAAAAAAAAAAAGTTGAGAGGATGCAAAGTGGCTAGACTTGGTTGGTTCTGATTAGTCAAGACTTTTTTTCTTGAGATTAGTTTCGAGCAGAATTTGACAGAGAAATTTATAATAACATTCTAGTGTTTGGGCCTCTCACCCAGAAGCCACGTATCATATGGTTGCTCATTGTTCTAAATGCGCAGAAATGTTTTATTCTGCTATCTCCTTATTATAGAAGGGAGTCAGATTGCAATGGGTGAGAAAGCTGACTGACTGGAACGCAGAAAGGACAGTGCCATCCTGGGTGACCCTTCCCTCATCATGACAGCAGCCCTTCTCTGGAGCTAGGCAGTCACTTCAAGGACAGAGTTCACAGGGGTCCACCCTTCTTCCTGGCTAATTTCTACAGCCATGGCTGCAGGGAGCTCCCTGAGTGAGCCAGATGGATGGGCTAGAGGTCCCTGCGGGATTCCCCCACCCCAGGCTGCTGGGATAACCATCAACAGTGTTCTTGTCTCTTCCAGGCTCCTCTGGCCCAGCCTGAGTCCCCCACCGCCTCAGCAGGAGATGAGGCCCGGTCTACTCCTGAGTCTGGAGACTCAGATAAGGAGTCAGTTGGCAGCAGCTCCACCAGTAATGAGGGCGGCCGGCGAAAGGAGAAGTCAAAGCGAGATCGGGAGAAGGACAAGAAGAGAGCAGACTCTGTGGCTAACAAACTGGGCAGCTTTGGAAAAACCTTGGGCAGCAAGCTCAAAAAGAACATGGGGGGCCTGATGCACGGCAAGGGTTCAAAACCTGGAGGGGTGGGGACAGGGTCCGGGGGAAGCAGTGGCACTGAGACACTGGAGAAGAAGAAGAAAAACGCACTGAAGAGCTGGAAGGGTGGCAAGGAGGAGGCAGCTGGGGATGGGCCTGTGTCTGAGAAGCCCCCAGCTGAGTCTGTTGGTAACGGAGGGAGCAAGTATAGCCAGGAGGTGATGCAGAGCCTAAGCATTCTGAGGACTGCCATGCAAGGGGAGGGGAAGTTTATTTTTGTTGGAACCCTGAAGATGGGTCATCGTCACCAGTATCAGGAGGAGATGATCCAGCGCTACCTTTCTGATGCTGAGGAGAGATTCCTGGCAGAACAGAAGCAGAAGGAGGCAGAGAGGAAGATCATGAATGGAGGAATAGGGGGTGGCCCTCCTCCAGCCAAAAAGCCAGAGCCAGATGCTGGGGAGGAGCAGCTGACTGGCCCCCCAGCAGAGTCCAAGGCAATGGCATTTTCTACTGGCTACCCTGGGGGCTTTACTATCCCTCGGCCTTCTGGGGGTGGAGTCCACTGCCAGGAACCCCGGAGGCAGTTGGCAGGGGGTCCATGTGTCGGGGGCCTACCACCATATGCCACCTTCCCCAGACAGTGCCCTCCTGGGCGACCCTACCCCCACCAGGACAGTATCCCTTCTCTGGAGCCAGGCAGTCAGTCTAAGGATGGAGTTCACAGGGGTGCATTGTTACCACCCTCCTACCGAGTGGCTGATTCCTATAGCAATGGCTACAGAGAGCCCCCTGAGCCAGACGGATGGGCTGGAGGTCTCCGGGGGCTTCCCCCCACCCAGACCAAATGCAAACAACCGAACTGCAGCTTCTATGGACACCCCGAGACAAACAACTTCTGTTCCTGTTGTTACAGGGAAGAACTGAGGCGGAGGGAACGGGAGCCGGGTGGGGAGCTCCTGGTGCACAGGTTTTGAACAGTTGGAACACTGAAGGGCAAGGAGGCTGAACAAAGTTAAGCTCAACTAATTGGCTCATCAAGAACAGTCCCCATGCTGATGGGGCAAATGCAGTAATGTTTGTGGGAGCCTGGCTGGAAACTTTTAAGTATGTGCGCACAGGAGTGCTGCCAGGTTGGCAGGAGCAGGTTGGGGCTGGATGGCGCCTCAAGGGCTGCACTATTTCTCTGCAGAGCTTGACTTTACGGGACTGAGGTGCAAGGGGGAAAGATGGCGATTCTGTCTTATAACCTCCTGGGTCCCATCCAAGGACCTAAGAGGAAGTAGTATGAGAAGGTTTGGTGTGTGGGGGTGGGAGGTGGGCAGAAGTCTTGGGGAGAAATGGGCAAAGGAAGTTCTCAGTCAATAAAAAATAGACCAAAGTTCATTAGGTTGGGGAAAGCACATGGTGGTGGAGTGGGAAGTGTGGAGGGGAAGCGGGAAATTGGACACATTTGCTATTGATTTGAATTAAGGTAGACATTAGGGTTGGATAAATTCTTCCCCTTGAAGGATCTGGAAAGACAAGGCAGTGATATGTGCTCATGGGTGCCTGTTAGGAGGTGGGGGTAGTTTAAATCCGTTGGTTGAGATGGGAAAGGGAGGAACTTAAAAGGGAAATCCTTTTCCTCTTAAGCTTTATTTCCTTGCAGTCATGTGTCATCTGTTACAGTTTGAGAAGAGTTGAGAAGAGATTGCTGATTACTCCCCATCTTTTCCTCACCTAAATCTTTAACTGTATTTTTTTAAGTTCCCTGTGGGAAAGGGAAGAGCATGGTGAGAAGAGCAGTCATGTGTGTTGCATTTTCTCCAGGTGAATTGGGGCAGAGGTGATCTATTTTTTAACCATAGCAATAACCATATATTGGGATTTGAGCACACCTTCGGCGGGGCGGGAGGACAGACATTTTAGCCAGATTGTTTTAAACAAAACCAAAAACCTAAATAGAGCACTACCATCCTCTGTGGCTGCTGCATTTCTGTAGAAAGAACTTATTTTATTGACTTTTTTTTTTTAAGGAAAAGAAACAAAAAGACCCCAACAAGCAAAAACATTTTAAAAAATGATTTTTTCTCCTACTTAAGTGTTTCCTTCTCCTTTTTCTCTACTTTTGGAGAATGAACTTTAACATCCTGGCTTCTTTTGTTAAGCCATAGCTGACCTTAATCTGTGGTTAGTTTATTAAAATAATAAAAAATACTTTGTAAGAAGAGATATTTTTGATATTAGGACTGATGTTGAAATATGGGGTGGGGATTAGGGGCAATTTATAAAAAGGTAGATAGAGACATATATTTTAGTGAACTATAACCACAGAGCACAGATAACTCCCAATGAGCTGATCTGTCTTTAGATTTCTCCCTCTCCTTGACCCATCCCTGTTCTCCAGGGGCTGGGAGTGGGGATGTGGACACAGTAGGGGGAGCTCCTTTGCATTTTGCACAAAGCACAAGTCTGGACAGCCGATGCTCTGGCCAGAGCCATTTCTAAGAGCTTTAAACCGGAAGACCCATCCTGGGCCAAGTTTCCTTTTTCTTTATATTTTTTTCCGGGAAAAAAAAAGTCAACTATGCAATTGTATACACTCCCGGGTGCATGTGAGGAAGGGGAATAAGTGTACTTAATGTGTCCAGAGTATTAACAGGCTGTTTTTCTGTGTTTGGATTTCTCTTTTGAGGTATGTACTCATAACTCATCCCATGGAATGGAGTCCCCACATTTGATCTAAAGCAGTTGCACGTGCATGTGCGTGCGTGCGTGCGTGCGTCTTCCTTCTTGGTACCCAGTCATGACTGTCCTTGTTGGAAATGCTCACGGTTTAGAAAGGTTCTTTTCTCCTCAACAATCTCAGAAGTCACCTATTTAATTTCCTATGGCTATTAATTCTTAGGGTTTTCTTTGAAAATAGGTTTGTTTTAAGGAAGCAGTGAGATTCCAAAGGAAGGGATGTGTATATGTCTGGACAGGTCTGGAACCTGGTATGCGATGAGCACTCCCCTAAGGTGCAGAATTTAAGGGGCTACCATAAAAAACTCATTCAGCAACATACTTAAAAAAATGCAGTATTTTTAAAAATTATTGCAAAAAAATTATGTTGAATAAAGTAGCGAAATCTTACAGGATCTGACAGGACTGGGATTAGGAGGAGGGAAGTGAGGCTGAATTGAATAAGTATGGGGATGAATCCTCTTTAAATATTTGATACATTGTCCATCATAGTTTTTTTACATTAATTTTGATTTTTTTTTTCCCCATGGATATTTCAGATAAAGTGATGAATTAATTTTGATTTTTTAAAAATGTTGCATTAAAGTAGTATTCATCTTGGTTACTGGGTTTTTTGGGCACTCTTTAAATTTTGTGCCCAAGGCGACTGCCTTGCTCACCTCACCCTAGTTACGTCCCTATTTCTGTGATTTGAACAACACTAGTGAGACCACCACTGTGTGCGCCTCCATCCCCATCACACACCAAACAACAGGTGGCTCAAACACCCTGAATTTGCACAACTCACCTAGCTTTCCTAATTTAGGCCTTCATACCATAGGATGCTGGCCTGGACCAATAGAAATTAAAACAGACCAGGGGTTTTCCCAGAGAAGAAAGCCAGAAAAGTTTTGATTCTCCACTGGACTGCTGTGTTTGGATTTGATCTGTTATTAGATTCTAGTTAATACTTTTGTTTTTAAAAACTGAGGACAAATGAACAAAAACAAAACCTTGTATCATGTTTGTTTTTGTTTCTATTTATAAATTAGCCAATCCCAGTTCCTTTTGCCTTCTTTTCAAATAAAAGATGGAAATTTTGAAGGGTGGTCTAGGGATTAATATGGTAAAATGGGGCTTTAGGCCTTATAGCTTTTTATTAAGAAATAAATTATTTTTTATTTGGGAAGGTAACTATTTATTGAGACATTGAAAAACCTCTCCATTCTAAGGATGAAAGACCCTGAGACAATGGATATATTTTTATAGGAGATAGCGAAGTTTGTTTTGCTTCATTATTTGGGGGAAGGGCTCAGTGGGATGTTGGGGAAGTGAAGGAATAATGCCTGGGAAATTAATATAGACTCAGCTTGGTTTGTGGTATTTGGGGAAGAGGAGAGAATAGAAGAGGCAAGCCCATGCCTTTACTGGATTGGGGAGAAGAAAAGAAGGGGCATAGGACATGCACTCAAAATGGGCAGAAAATTCCTTAGTTACAGAGTGATATGTGAGTGAAGAGAGAAGGCAGACCCTTTAACCGTAGGAGAGGGATGATACCATCTCTCAGACTTAAATTTAAGTGCACTTATTTCCTTTAATCCAGGGCAACTGGGGTACCTACTGAAGTTTTTAATGGAGGGAGCTTTTCAGGGTTCTTGTTTTTCCCTTTTGATGTTAGTGCTCCTCCCTCCCTGCCACGCTCTGCCCCGTCTCCAATGGAATAAGTATTACTGTAGGATAGGCCTCCACATCTCCCTTAACCTATGCTGCGTTTATTGAAAGTTACGAGATTTAACCAGAAGTTTTTCCCCCATGCTGGTTTTTATCAACAAAATAAAAAGTTATATCAAAAGATTTTTTAAAGATTTCAGTGTTTTTAAGGAGTGGGGATGGTGTTAAACTCAGTGCTGTAGAGGGCCTTGGAAGGAAAGTAGCTTCGCTCTATGAGCTCAGTTGTTTTTTTTTTCCTCAAGGAAAACTAAAGCCCACAGTCAAGAATTGGCAGTGACTTCGTGTTATATATCTGTGGGGTGATACTGAGCCCGAAAGAATGAAGCTGGTTTTGAATGTGTTCTGAGAACCTAACTTTTGCCATTCTTACTCCTTTTAGTCATGTGTCCAAGGTTCCAGTCACATTTTTTCTTTCTCAGTAAAGGAGTATTTTCAGAGATGATTGTCCTTGAATTACTCAGACACCTCTGGACTCTGTCTTTTTTTTTTTTTTTGGAGACAGAGTGTTGCTCTGTCACCCAGGCTGGAGTTCAGTGGTGTAATCTTGGCTCACTGCAACCACCGTCTCCCGGGTTCAAGCAATTCTCCTGTCTCTGCCTCCTGAGTAGCTGGGATTACAGGCACCTGCCATCATGTCCGGCTAATATTTGTATTTTAATTGAGACGGTGTTTCACTATGTTGGCCAGGTGGCCTTGAACTCCTGACCTCAGGTGATCCACTGGCCTAGGCCTCCAAAAGTGCCAGGGTTACAGGTATGAGCCACCACATCCGGCCTCTGTCTTTCTCCAATGAGTGAGTGCCCCAGACATACAGCCACAGGTGAGAAGACAGACTTAGAAACATCTTCCCAGCCTGGAATCACCTGCACTCCAGATTTTTCTAATATCCTTTCCCACCAGGCCTTTCAACTGTAGATTTGGATGAGTCATGTAGGCATTCTGTCTCTTTTACTTTGCAGACATCCAGTCTGCAAATCACAGGGTGTTTTGCCCCCATACGTCATTTGGGTAACAAAGTATTTATTACGATGTCCGCATGAGACTTTCTCTGTGCCATCTCCTGCATTGGCCATGTGGCTAAGGGGCAGTAGAAAAGAGCAACGGAAGCTGGCTGGCAGTAGTTAAGAGGAGTGGGGGTGGGAAGGACCTTGGCCTCTTTCTGTGTTTATAAGTGGATGTGTGACTCATCTTGTGAGTCATTCAACTCCACCTCCCTCCTCCCGCTGCCCCTCCCAGCAGCCTTCCCTCCTGGCACAAACCTGCAGCCAGACCAAGATTCTGAAAATGGAAAAACCTGATATAGCTCCTTGCCTTTCCACCCTCCCCTTTATCTAGTACTCCTACTGAGGATGTGTGGGGTGGTGAGAAGAGTCTTAACCCTCAGCTCCTGCCCATTCCATTCCTGGTTAGGTGCTGATCCAAATCCAAATTGCCCAATTCTTTTCTCCCCCTGATTTCCCCGATTTTTATTTTTATTTTTATTTTTAGACGGGAGTTTTGCTCGTCGCCCAGGATGAAGTGCAATGGCGCTCACTGTAACCTCTGCCTCCTAGGTTCAAGCAATTCTGCCTCAGCCTCCTGAGTAGCTGGGATTACAGGCACCCACCCCCACGCCTGGCTAATTTTTGTAGTTTTTTTTTTTTTTTTTTTTTTTTTTTAAGTAGAGATGGGGTTTCATCATGTTGGCTAGGCTGGTCTCAAACTCCTGACCTCAGGTGATCTGCCCACCTCGGCCCCCCAAGGTGCTGGGACTATAGGCGTGAGCCCCCCTCCCCCGATTTTTTTCTCTGTGTTCCTCCACTGTCTCCACACTTCAAAGTGCTAAAGAATAGAATGAGGCTCTTAAATGAAGGATGGTGGTGAGAAGGAAAGTGGACAATGAGATTTAAAAGTTGTAGTACACACCTATTCCTATTTTTTTTTTGAGGGCGTCTTGCTCTGTTGCTCAGGCTGGAGTATAATCATGAAATCTTGGCTCACTGGAACCTCCACTAAGCGATTCTCCTGCCTCAGCCACTGGAGTAGCTGGGATTACAGGTATGAGCCACCATTCCCAGCTAATTTTTTTTTTTTTTTTTTGAGACAGAATTGCTCTGTTGCCCAGGCTGGAGTGCAGTGGCATGATCTCGGCTCACTGTAGCCTCCGCCTCCTGGGTTCAAGCAATTCTGCCTCAGCTTCCTGAGTAGCTGGGACTACAGACGCGTGCCACCACGCCCAGCTTATTTTTGTATTTTTAGTAGAAATGGGGTTTCACCATGTTGGTCAGGCTGGTATCAAACTCCTGACCTCGTGATCCACCCACCTCGGCCTCCCAAAGTGCTGGGACTACAGATGTGTGCCACTGAGCCCGGCTAATTTTTGTTTGTTTAGTAGAGACAGGGTTTCACCATGTTGTCCAGGCTGGTTCTGAACTCCAGATCTCAAGTGATCCGCCCGCCTTGGCCTCCTAAAGTGCTGGGATTACAGGCGTGAGTCACTGCGCCCGGCCCCTATTTTCTTATTACAACAGACCTTGGGAAGTATTTTCTTCCCCCAAAAGGTTGAGGCCCATGGAATGCATGGGAGTGAGATGGGGTGGGTGCTCTGTAGCCTTTAGGACTTCTAGACTTGGGCTTCTGGGCCACCTTCCCAGCAGGTGTATTCCTCTTTGTTCCAGACTGACTTCCTGTCTCACAATATCTTCACTGTTTCCACAGTTGCAGCCAAGACAGGAAACTTTGAAAGCTGAGGCCAGAAGGGTGGTGTACCAGGGGAGGAGAAAATTGAGTGTCACTTTGGAAAACTGGGGCCCCAACCTAAGGATTGCTGCCTCTGTAGATTCAAAAGCAATAAAACAGCAGCACATTAACTCTTATTTTGTATTTTATTTTCTGTCTTTTTCATGTCTAAATAAAGATTTTTGCTTTGCTGTCCCCAGGTCCCCTCCTTTAAAGGAGCTGCAGCTCCTTGACTTCTGTCCTTGTTCCCAGCCTTCCTTACTCATCTTTGCTTCTTGGGTTGCAGATGGGAGGGACGGGAGATGGACTGTTGAGCTGAAGAGGTTTCCAGCCCTCACCTAGAAAGTCCTGAACATGAATCATTCATTTGGAGATCTGGTGTCTGGGTTGGAGGGGTGGAGTCACATACGGGAATCGGTTGTGTGGCTGCGTGATAGGCGGGGTTAACTGCTAAGATGTTTTCCTCACACCTCCCACCCTCATGCCCAAGACTTGCACACAAACATACCTGTACTGTGTCTGCAACTTGGACACATTTCCATCTCTTCACACTTCTCCACTGCGCACTTCACATGATGTCTGCTTCATGACCTCTGCAGAAAGATATGCAAAAACACTGTAACCAGTTTCCCTGCTTCCCCACCTAATGCTTGGGCCTCTCCTGACAAAAATCACCCCAGGTCTAATTTTCATTTTTTTCTGGAAGAGATGGCAAGGAGGCTTGAACCACTTTCACATTCCTACCCCTCTCCCCGCCCCAAGCCCCTGTGAGAAGACAAAAGAACTGGGCTTCTAAGGGAAGTCATCACTGAGACACTCCAGAGAGGGAGCCCAAATTATTCCAGTTTCATCATCAATAGAACTGCGTCCCTCAAACGATCTCTGGGACTCATGAACAGGAAGAGAACAGGGTCTGGGATTGGGGTAAAGAAGGGAGTAGGTATTTTTCTCTCAGGCCCCATTTCTCCCTCACCCGTCTGTCTCAGACCTCACTGTTTCCACTTTTCCAGAATTGTGTGTATTCTCCTTTAAGGGGCTGGGCATCTCTCCCGCCCTCTCCAGAGTCGACTGAAGTTTCTGAGGAGACTTCTCAGGCTGGGCTGGACACACCTTTCCAAAGACCTCCAAACTCCGCTCTGTGCACCTTAAATGCTCCTCTCCTTTGTGTCCAACCCCCTCCCCCTCTCTCTAACTCCCCTCTTCTCAAACAGACTCGCCTCTCCCCAGGGGGGTGAGCATCCTTGAGGTTTCCCACCCTTAAGTGCTCCGTCCCCGGATGGAGCCAGAGAAATGTGGTGGGGGGGGCCGGGGCCAGAGTTTCAACATTGCCCCCCAGAAGGAGGAGCCAGAGATGGGGGTAAGGAGAAGGAATTTGGGGAGGTCGGCAAGAGGGTGAGAATGGGGATGAGGTGGAGGTAAAAGGGGGAAGCAAAGGCTCTAGAGGAGGAGGAGGGTGTGTCTGTGCCATCAGCTTCTGTTGATGGAGCCTGGTCTGCCTTTTTCATAGTCTCAAGTTCGTTGTCTCATTACCCATTAACCAGCCCCTCCCTTGACTGTCTGCCAGGCCTGGCTGGTCTGGAGCTCCCCATAGACACTGATCTCAGTTTCCCCCAGAGTGTGAGTGCAGGCCTCTGAAGGCAGCTGCCTCTGGGGAGGTCTAGGGGTTAACTTTATGCCCCCCTCAGCTCTCTGGACCAAAATCCATCCAGGAAAGCAGGATGCCGGAGCCCCGGAGTCGTCGGCTTAGCAGTTGCCTGGCCTCCGGATGCCTCCCAGGTAACAATGCCCTGTCATGCTCCAAACACTCCTCCAAATTCCATCCTGCACCACTGTTGTTTCATGCCCTCACCAAAGAGACCCCTGTTTTCCTCTCCTGCCTCAAAGTGCTTCTGCCTGAGGCTTGCTGTCCTCCCCGGCGGCTTCTGGAGCTGGCTGAGGGTTGGATGTTGACATTCCTTCTGTTTCCTTGACCCTGTTACCCCTTTTGAAATTTACTTATTTAATACATATTTAGTGCCTGGTATGTGCCGGGTCCTGTTCTAGGCTGTGTTCTAGTTACGTAAATTTTTTAAAATGTATCTTTCCTGGGCCAGACGCAGTGGCTCACGCCTGTAATCCCAGCACTTTGGGAGGCCGAGGCGGGTGGATCATGAAGTCAAGAGATCGAGACCATCCTGGTCAACATGGTGAAAGCCCGTCTCTACTAAATATACAAAAAATCAGCTGGGCATGGTGGCGCGTGCCTGTAATCCCAGCTGCTCAGGAGGCTGAGGCAGGAGAATTGCCTGAACCCAGGAGGCGGAGGTTGTGGTGAGCCGAGATTGCGCCATTGCACTCCAGCCTGGGTAACAAGAGGGAAACTCTGTCTCAAAAAAAAAAAAAAAAAAAATGTATCTTTTCTCAGA